GAAAATATTTACATAGTAGAAGGTGATAAAAATTTAAATATAGTAAAAAATTAGGTGCTCACACCATCTGTTATTTTTCATGGATTTTGGTATTGCTTTTGTTGAGAGTTTATTTGGTAATGTGTCGTATGAAATGTTGGCCAAGAATTTTAAGATTGAGAATGAGATTTGAACTCAAAAGGGGCTAACGAGTTTAGGAAATTAATTTTGATAGAACAGAGAATGAGAGACAGAGTGAAACGGAGAGAGAGAGAGAGAGAGTAGGAAGGAGAGAGAACGAGGATGAGAAATAATTGATTCCTTATTCAATTCCTAATATAATGGATTTACGGTCAACGCTATCTCACTCAAAGAGCATGACCCCGTTGACGAATAGAATATCTAAACTGGGGTTGGGGGCCAGTCCAAGAGTTTAGTTCACTCGAAAGCGGGTAGCCATTAAGGAAAGCGGTTGTTGGATATTTGGTTTTAACCGGTTGCCCCACCCCTTATAGTAAGTACTGGTGAGAGGGAAAGAGCGCTCCTGCCCTTTAAAAAAGGTCCCCTCCTTCAATATCATGATTGGGTCGACCAGGCCAGATCATGAGTGAATAGAAAAAAAAATGTACTTAGATGTTCCAGCTGAAATACTTGGAACTAATTTAATTCCTAAAATATATATAATTGATAAATTATATATGCCTATATAATTAAATTAAAAGTTGAGTATGAAGGATAATAAAGTTTCAAATAGTGTATAGGAAGGTAAAAGTCCCATAAAATAATACTCTAGTAAACAAAATAGAATTACATTCTCATAAAGAGACCATTATCGCCTTAGGGGCAAAATAGGAAGACGGCTCCAAACTCAGATCAAATCTTAGATTTTTTTACTAAATAATTTGATCCCATCTACCTCAAAGGAGTCTATTTATAGTCCAAACTCCTCAGCACTTTTGCATCAGCCCTCATTCACTTTTTCTACAGAAACACTAACAAACTTATATGTTCTCAAGAAAATCAGCAATGGCCAAGCTCGTTTCATTTTTCCTTTTGGCTCTCGTTGCCATATCCATGGTTGCAACCACTGTTTTGGCTGCAGATGCCCAGTACCACCTTGATGCTGTGAGTTCTTCTTTCCATTATTTTTTTTTCACATTTTCTCCTGTTACTCTGCTTCTTTATTCTAACACAAAAATTTGCTTATGATTCCAGTCAAGGTACGGTCCAGGGAGCTTGAAGCCATCACGTAAGCTTCTTCTCTTTTACTCTGATCTCGTTACATTTACTCTCTATCCTCAGTACCCCGACATCATCTCACAACACTCGTTCTAAACCAAATAAGACCTATAAACTTCCCTGATTAAATGAATCTTTAACTAACATCGTTAAATTTTAGGCTGAATAGTGTCTGAAATCTTTATTTGCGACGAAAATTTACACAAGAAAGTTCAGCAACCGTAAGCAGATGCTTATCTACAGTTCAAGTGACTAATTAATAGCATTTGATTGCATGTTCGAGTAATTTAACACTTAAAACATTCTTTCTAGCAGTATATTCCTTTTCACGTGAAATGTGGATTTACTAGTACTTAATTGTTTATTATGGTAATTCAGAGTACTGTTATAGCTATAACCTACCCTAACTGCCAAACAAACAATAGCCTCGGACTCCCAGAATGCAGCTCAGTTTCCTATAGCAATAGCAAATTTGTCAAAGTTAACCAATTCCAAGAACCTCAACCACTTGCCTTGCTCTGACCTTATTTGACCAGTTAACCATTTACCCATGCTACCCCTGTAAAAAAAAATTAACTTAAAAAGATGATTTTGGGTATGTCCATAACAAGTGAGATTAGTAACATAAAAATAAAAAAAACAAAAAAAAACACATACTACAATATTATTGATGGAGCATATTTGTTAGATCCTATTAGAATAAGTCCGTACATGAGCCACAAACAACAAAGAATTAGTTAATCATCGGCTATGTATTTATGTCTTATCATTGTACTAATTAACTGTTGTTAAACAGAATGCCTGCCACAATGCACGAGGAGATGTAGCAAGACACAGTACCACAAACCATGCATGTTCTTCTGCCAAAAATGCTGCAAAACATGTCTGTGTGTTCCCCCTGGTTTCTATGGAAACAAGGGTGTTTGCCCATGCTACAACAACTGGAAGACCCAGCAAGGAGGACCCAAATGCCCTTAATTTTACTTTCTGGAATTCGTTTCCAGTTTAATGATGTTGTTGTTTGTCGGTCTTCTTAATCCTACTGTTATTTAATTTCTCACGAATCATAGGTCATAAGTTGTATGACCTTGGTTCTTCTAAGTGTACTTTTACTGTATTGCTCCTTTGGGCCGAATACTTTTGTGTTGCCCGATATGAGAGCTGTTTGACCAATTCTTTTTGGTCTATTGTTACTATGTTTTAATTACTCTTTTCTAATATAACAATGTTCTCCAGATTTTGTTTCAATAACTAAGACTTAAGTTGCCTGCCTAAAAGCATCAACATCCACATTTTTATGTTCCTGAGTCAATTTGAGAAATGCATGTGAGGTCTTATTAAAGTGACAACAGACACGACTTAAATATTGAGAAATTTTAATTTATAAGAACAAGGCTTCACTGCGTGCTGAAAACAGTAAGTATATTCATCTTCATGTTATTTGACACACAGAATGAAAGTGAAAATGAAAAATAGACTCTTCAACATGTACAAAACAATAAAGCATAAAGTGGATTAGTTTCTTACTTGCTATTAGATTAAAATATAAGTAGCCTTCGGGATGCCATATAAATTATAACAAGTGATGCCATATAATGTGCAAGGGATGCAATCACGTATTGAAAGGAAAGAACGAGGAAGAAACAGTTCAATATTCCATGTAACACAATCCTTAATTTTGTTCTTTGGGTGATCTGTAAAGAAAGGAACTCAGGTTTGAAAGCAAAGAAGCTCACTCCACACACTCAAATAGACACGCCCCTCCCTCCTTGCCATTTGGACTAGATCAAAGAATTTATATGACATGTATATTCTGTTTGAGTTCCTTAGCTCTTTTCAGGAACTACTGATCACTTAATTTTATAACAACCTTTTGTTTTTGTTGCTACTCTCTTGTACACACCAGCACTGGCTTAACGAAATAGTAAAACGAGGTCATTTAGCGCAAGCGTATGCTTTTATTCTTTTACCCATGCTTTATTTCAATGGTTAACTATACTAATGCCACTCATAGACCTACATTAATTTGCTTCATAAGCATGTCTGTATTGAACATTAATATATCTAGTCTGCATTCTGTAGATGGTTATTGAATGGCAGTCTCTTGAGCATCTCGATCATATATCTAGTCATCTGTAAGAAATTCATTTTACCTAGTGTTGAAACAACTTTAAAACACTTTTATTGAAGCAGAGTAATAGAAGCATCTTACACCCTCTTTCTTTTCAATAGACAACTAGAATATGGTTACATTGATCTTGAACAGTTTCAAGTAAGAAATTTGAGAGTAAGGACAATACTGATATAGAAAGACGATTTCCCAGGCAGTAATGCATTCCAACTCAACATACTTGGATGCAAGGAAGAATAACAACTAATGGGGAGCATCTTTGTCCAATTATATGAACCAAAGTAAATTTTTGATAAAAAGTTATAGCTTGTTTGGCCAAGCCGAAGAAATTAGCTTATTTTGAGAAGTGTTTTTTTCAAAAGTGTTTTTGGAGAGAAGCAGTTTGCGTTTGGCTAATCACTCCAAAAGACACTTTTGAGCAATAATTTGTGTTTGACCAAACTTTTCAGAAAATGTTTTTACGTATCAAACTACGAATAAGGACATAAATAGATTTACTTAATAGTTAATATTATAAGTAAATAAATAATCTCAAAATTTTATTATTACATGCAATAATTAAATCTTTTTATTTTATTTAAGTAAAATATGAAAATAAAATTTAAAAGTATTTAATTCTTTTAATATAAATTAAATATATTAAAAATCATTCAACAAATATAAAAGCATTCACCCCTAAAGTCACTATATATTAGAAAGCTATCCTAAAAATAATAAGAAATATTTATATATTAATATCCTAAGTATTATGTTTAACGGTTATTTTGGTATACACTATATTTTGTTAAGGGTATTCTTGGTAAGAAAAAAAATCAAAACTGCTTCTACTTCTACTTTTGGGAAGAAGCTATTTTTTTCTACCTCTCATAAACTGCTTCTACTTCTTCCCAAAAGTATGTTTTTCCCCAAAAAAAACTTGGTCAAACACCTTAAGTTAAGAAAAAAAAATGCTTTTGAAAAAAAAAAATTTAGTCTCTTGAGAATCTTTGACAAACAAGCTATTAGTACGATAAGTGAAAGAAAGTTTGGAACTTAGAAACATAAACTGGTAACTTTCATTAAAAAGTACTTGTTGGCATAATAATAGGAGACAAGAGGGGTTGCTCTGATGGTAAGCAACCTCCCCCAAGAGCAAGGTGAGGAGTTCTTGGAGGGAAGGATGCCGAGTTTCTATTGAAAACAGCATCTCTACCTCATGGTAGGGGTAAGGTCTGCGTAGATTATACTGAGTTGTTATTGTTGTAGCACAGCAACAACGATAAAGTGTACTAAGGTAACAAGTTGTGGTAAGTTAGGCTGCTGCAGACTCATTTAACATACGCCAGAATAACACTGCTATATAGGTTTTACACAGTTGCATCACCAGACATAAATTATAAATTAATATAGATAATATAAAAGATCAGATATCTATTGACTCTTCAAATTATTCATACTACAAATACTGTTCAACTGTTCAAGCTTCTCTTTTTTCCCGTTTTAATTTTCGTTTGTTGTACATCAACTAAGCATCTAATTAGAAAAAAGAATAGACTTTAACGTTGCCTTTTTAGTTTATATTTTAAAATAAGTAAGTAGGAACATGAATTAATCTAACTTTGTGTAAGTAATGTTAGTTATGTGACTCACATAGTAAAATTTCTCTAAGAATATAAACTTCATCTCTTCATCATCTATCTTTTATTATATAAATATCTAAAAACTTCACAAATTAAAAAATAAGAGTAAATTTGAATAAAATACTTAATATCATTTATAAAACGTTAAATATTTTAAAATAAATTTAATTCACCGAGCGATTAATATTTGAAATTCGATGGAGTGATATTTATAAATATTTTCTGGGTGGCACCAAATGCTACACAAGTGATAGTGGCAGTAAATGCACGAGCCACCGTCTCATCTCCGTTGTAGTATTCTTCTTCGTTTGTCTCGATTTGGTGAGTCTAAGTGAACCTACAATTATTAGGTCCCTCGAATTAGGTGAAGGTCTTAAAACTACGTGAATCAATAATTTGTTTACCACCACCAAAATCTTATATACAGTTTAATGGTAATCCTTCGGTTCCAATTTATATAAACATATTTGACTAGGTATAAAATTTTTAAATTTGTGATCCTAAATAGGTCAAAAAGGGGCTCAAAATATTTGTGTGATTATAAAAAAAATTTATTAAGGTGTGAAATTATAAGTTTAAGTTAAATTATTTTTAAATTTAGAAAAAATTATTCTTTTTAGAATAAATAAAAAAAAAAATAGTTTCACGTAAACTTAAACGGAAAGAGCAATTAGTAAGAGCTTCTTACTTTTGTTATGCTATTGGTTTACAGCGGACTTAGTTCCCCTAATGAATCATGTCATTGGACACGAGAAAAGAAAAATCGACCGCACTGCTTCTCCACTAGCTAACATTAGCAATTTGCAGATTTCAAGAGTATGACTATTAACTAAAGAGGAAATTTCATATTAAATGCAATTAAAGGAAACTTAGAAATAAATCTTCAATAAAATATAGTCCAGTCCAGTAATAGTAGTAAACAGCATTATAACTATATGGAATAAGGTTTCATCACAAGTCTGGTTTTTCTAGTGACTCATCTCTCTACTTTTAGCAAGCTTAATTAATCTTGATGACCCAAATAAGAACGATTGGATTTTGAATTCTCCAGTCTATTTTTAGTTTTATTTTCCGTTTTGCCTCTGTGGTCTTGATTTGGGTTGTGTTTTCCAGATAATAAAGGTTAACAAATCTTGTTTCCTCAGCTGACACAGTGTTTTTTATATATGCCTTTTCTTTGGAATTTCAGCTGCTTTTGTTCTGTTTTGTCTTTGATATTTGCAGGTAAATAGGAGCAGAAATTTGCGGTAAAAGAACAAACTTTACGGGTTTGAATAGCTGAATTTACCAATTCTTGTTCTCAGGAATTTTAGTTGGATGCACGGGTGTGGGTTTATGGAAGTAGTAGATGTTAGATTTGATGAAAATAGCAGAAATCACCTTGGAAGTGTTTGAAAGTTCTTGAAAAAGATACTACTGGTTTTGTGGATAAGTTACTGTATATTCCAAAATGTCTCTGATTCCTGATAAAAGCATGTTACCTTCAAGGTCTCTGTCCTGTCTAATAGCCATTTCTGTTTTCCTTTTGATAATTTCTTCACTTTCCCTTCTTCAATTTGCTGACAATTCTTTCATACCCAGATCAGTTTTTAGTTTAATTCTTGCTAATAGTACATCCGTTTACTTGACCTCAAGTGGAGAATCTAAAGCTCCTTTCTTGCCTATTGAAACTTCACATGAACAAATCCTGAAAAGCCAAGAGTTAGCTTGTCACACTTCCAGTTTCAGCAATGATAATGTTGGATTCGGAGTTGGGAAAACTTGTGGCCCGAAACGAGCTCTTCTTAAAGTGTATATGTATGACTTACCTCCTGAATTTCACTTTGGGCTATTAGGTTGGAAAGGAAGTAGGGACCAAACATGGCCTAGTGTTGGTAACCCGAGCCAAATACCCTCATATCCTGGTGGCTTGAATTTGCAGCACAGCATTGAATATTGGCTTACCCTTGACCTTCTATCCTCAAACTCCCCAAATATTAATAGACCATGCACTGCTGTCAGGGTGCTGAATTCGAGTGAAGCAGATGTAATTTTTGTGCCCTTCTTTTCGTCTTTGAGTTACAATAGGCATTCGAAGGTTCAAGGGAAGGAAAAAATCAGTCTCGATAGAGTGCTGCAGGATAAAGTGGTGGACTTTTTAAAAAGTAGAGATGAGTGGAAGCGAAGGGGTGGAAAGGATCATGTAATTGTTGCTCACCACCCCAATAGTATGTTGGATGCAAGAGAGAAGCTAGGTTCCACCATGTTTGTACTTGCAGATTTTGGAAGGTATAGAGCCGAAATAGCAAATATTGGAAAGGATGTGATTGCTCCTTACAAACATATGGTCCAGACAATAGGTGCTGGCAACTCACCCTCTTTCAGACAACGGAATACGTTAGTTTACTTTCAAGGGGCAATCTATCGAAAAGATGTGAGTTTCACATCTGCTTTTATATGCAACTGATGAGTTCAATAATTTGTTAATGATTTTGCTATTTTCCATGTCATAAAGTTATGCTTTAATCTAATTACTTATAAGATAGCATGCATTACTTTGTGAGGCCCCATATATTTAGTGGCAGTGACACTTGAAACCGAGAGCCAGATAAAGCTTTCTCCTGTCTTGTACCAAAAGTAATATTGGAATGAAATGGGTCCAAATGGAGCAAAATGGATAGTGAGGATTAATGTAGCCGAACTCTACTAGCTCGAAATTGAGGTATAGTGTTTTAGTTACCGAAAGTAGTTTCAGCAGCATGAAAGAATGGTATGTAGCCACAGCTTTTCGTTTTCGGACAAAGTAACATTGCTGTTTTGGGCTGTTTTGTACTTAATCATGCTCTGATTCCCTGTACTGGTTAATCGATTTGGATTTTCACTTTGAACACCTATAGCATGTGCAGTTATATTCTCTGACTTGCCACCTCAATATATTGGTTTGCTCTCAACTGTAAGATTGGAATATAGTTCATATCGCATTTGAAACAGAAGCGAAACTAAAGTCCCTCTATCTTTTGCTTCAAGTATGATATATCTAGTAGATTTCTGATACCCTGTTCAGCATTCCAGAGTTGTTAATGTGTAGGCGTCACAAGGACAAAATAGATCTTATTACCTTCTAAGATTTTCAAAGGGAAATGCAATAGAGGAATGCCCTGTTGAATGCAGAGAATGTAATATCACGAGCTCCACCCAAAAGCAAAAAAAACACGGAAGCTAACAAACAGTATGATGGTTAGGATGATTTGATGGCCCCTTATGTAGGTTGTGGATTGCCAATGACATTTAGGGCAGTAACATAACTGAAATTTTACTGTTTATGTCATTTGAAGCTCGAAAGGAGAATATTGATTGTTATGAAGTCAACTTGAAGTGATAGATCTTTTTTCTTGCTTATCTAATACCAGGGTGGAGAGATTCGTCAAAATTTATACTACCTTCTCAAAGATGAAAAGNCTTTGAAGTGATAGATCTTTTTTCTTGCTTATCTAATACCAGGGTGGAGAGATTCGTCAAAATTTATACAACCTTCTCAAAGATGAAAAGGATGTACACTTCACATTTGGAAGCATTCAAGCAAATGGTGTCAGGGAGGCTGGAAGAGGAATGGCATCGTCCAAATTCTGCCTGAATATTGCTGGAGACACTCCCTCTTCAAATCGTCTCTTTGATGCCATTGCTAGCCACTGTATTCCGGTTATAATTAGTGATGAGATTGAGCTACCATTTGAAGACGTTCTCGATTACTCAGAGTTCTGTGTGTTTGTAAATTCATCTGATGCTGTAAAGAAGGGCTACCTTCTGAACCTTCTTAGAGAAATGAAGGAAGATCAGTGGACCAAAATGTGGGAAAGGATAAAGGTGCTCAGCAAACATTTTGACTATCAATATCCATCCCAAACTGGTGATGCAGTGGATATGATTTGGCAGGCAGTTTCAAGAAAGGTGTCATCTATACAACTGAAGGATCATCGCGACAAAAGATACCACAGGTCGCAGCTTTTCCTCAAAGACCAGATGTCATGATTATTTATGTGAAATTTCAGAACCTCATCCTGTAGTTCTTTTAGGAGATCAGCTGTCAGGTCGAGCTTGATTCTCTACTTTGTGGTATGAGTTTCCAAATTTCTTAACTTATTGTAAATTCTTTTTTTATAATGAATGCAAATTTTGTGCCTCTCCTGACAGATAACTATGCTTTTTCTTAACCACCAGCATTACCCACTGACATAACTGGAATTGATTCTCTAACTAGCATGTATAATAAACGAAAACCAGTAAGAGGAAGTCCGTGCAATAGAGGTAGAGGAATCGCAGGTAACAGCAGCATCCAGGGACAATTCAATTTCATTATACATGCAAGATGTACTGATGCTTAATGATAACATGATATCTATCTGGTCAGAAAATATAAAACATTTTGCTGTGTATAATAATGAGCATAAAATCCTAAAGTTTTTCTGTGGTTCTAGCTTTACACAACACATGAAGCTGCTGCTTTCAAGTCAAGACTTCTACTCAAACAAATGATAGTCATGTGTCACAACTCACAAACCTAAAAAAGAACTACCGAGGATGCAGAATTGCCCACTACTCTCAAGTTTCTCTTAGAAAAATTACAAAAGAAGGCAGCTATTCCTGTCCTTATGAATCTTGAAATGTTCATCATTTGCACACTTGCTTTGGACACAGTGTCAACATTTATTATGGATGGGATCTGATCCTCTTCTCACTCTTCTTTTGTTTGATTGATTTGGATCAAAGGTCATCGAAGGTGCAGGCGCTATATTCAGCTGCGTATGTAGGTCCTGCATTTCAGCAGCCTTAAGTATCCGAGAATTTCTCAGGAAAAATAACTTGCCTCCTCCCCATCTGAGAGCAAGATCTATACTTCTGAGAGCAGAAACTTCCTCTGGTTGAATTGACAAGAATCCAATACAAAGAATTAGGACAATCACCCTACAGGAAGGACACAACATTGTTTTCTGCACTTGGGGGGCAACAGAAGGAACAAAAGTTTTTTCTTGGCTGAGGCTATAATGAGAAAATAAGAGGTTTGTCTGTGGCTACACTCAGCATATCCTGCACAGAGTGCCTGTACATATAAACTTGTGTTTCATCTTTTATGGGATTTGCAAGACTAAAGGTACATAAAGCAGTGAGGGCCCCAAGACAAAACATATAGAGAAGTTTAAGATTCACTTCAATCATAAGCCTGTGATGCTGCAAGCAATATAAGGCTGTTATAGAAGACACTGACAGGTTTGAATAAAAGTGAAGTTGGAACACCCATTCTTTAGAAGCCAAGAATCTATACATTTGTTCCCTACATCCCTTTCATGCTTTGCCCTTTTGGACCAAACAATGACCAAATCCAGTCTTTTGGACTTAATGCCAAGTCATCTGCCAAGTCATCTAAGTATAATTACTACTACCTGTTCTTGACAAAGCCAAGTCATTTTAATTTTACTGTTTTACTAACAGCTTGACAAAGCCTAATTTTGGAACTGCTATTGCGTTTGATAGTTTTAACATTTTTTATGACAATAGTGGTGTTCGGGCTAGCTCGTGCGTGGCTTGAATATTATACTAGATTAGATATCTACAATCTCCGATCAGCACATATACCGAGTAACTCTATCCATCAATATTTGGGCAAATTAGGTGGTAATGTTATAATTAAAGAGGGTTTAGGATTTCCTATTATAGGATTTTAATTATATAGAAAGAGATGTCCCTACTACCAGAAGTTAATTAATGGGGAGGCCAAAGCTGAGATTGCAACAGTTGCAAGAAAGCCAGATAAAGCAGATTGTTGGGCAATGTGAAGAATAGAAACCTCTTCAAAAAATATAAATCCAAGGACTTACTTTATGCCAAATTCTACTTTAGATTTTAGAATTCCAATCTAAAAACAAAAATGACAGTCTTGGTTCCTAGTGCTTAATGAGTTTCTCTTTATGCTTTTCTTTGCTCTATCTTTAATTTAGATTGTGCAATTTCCCTCCATTCAAAATTCTTAGGACCTCCTCTCTCCTACCCATTCTTGGCCTTGTCAAGCATATTATTCTTTTCCATCTTTATTTGTTCTTGCTTACCCATGTGGACCATCTCTTTCCTTCCCTTTTCCTTTTTCCTTTTTCTTATTCGCAGATTCTGAATTTATTCTTCTTTCCTCTTGCCCGTTGTTATGCGTTTTCTCAATCCCATGAATGAATTTGTTCCTCACATATTAATAAGGTTCTCTCAATTAATGAATATGAGATGCTTGCTTCAAACCAATTGTGAAGTCCTACTTCAGAAAAATAGGCCAAGTATTTCATGAGTTCGATCAAGAGCTTCACGTTTGGAATATCTTAAAAGTATGACAGAGCGTCCCTGGAATACTTCATTTAAATATTTAAAAGAATACTAGTAAATATCAAAGTTAAGAGTTTAGCTGAAGTTTCATTTAAGCAATTACAAAGACAATATGTATGTATTGATGAATATGCATATAACTCCTTCCTTCCTCTTTTATTTGGCACAATTAGACGTATGGAATTTAAGATGTTTAACCTGTCTAAGTAATCATATCTCTATCAGCGTAGAAATAAAGGGCTGAAGATATATACATCACAAAGTCTAGGAAATTAACTAGCATGTCAATAACAGAAGCAATCCACCTCAAATAATTACTAACAAAACATAATACAGTAGAAAAAATCGCAAGTAAAAAAGGAACTAATTAAGCGGGAGGAAGAGTAAACCATAATGGTAATATATAAACAATGTACACGATGTGAAGATATGGTATCTCCACATTGAAAGCAGCTAAGTTCGCTATTATATTTTTACATGTTCAAGCATTAATGAAAAATTGAACAAATGGAAAAAGTTTCAGCCTCTGCACTCCAAATTTGGCAATGCAAAGATACAGCTAATAAATCGAAAAAGCAAAAAGGGAAAAGAATACTCCTCTACCCTTCTACTCATCCCCATCTTGTGCAACTTACCAACAGTAAAATGCCCCTATCGGCAACTATTTTATAACAAGCAAACTGAGCAAAGCCATTTATACCATCTCTGGAGGAGGGGATGTCGCCTGGGCGGTTGGTGTTGCAACATGAGTAGTTGGGTGTGCTGGTGTTGCTGAAGGTTCAGCTAACTGTGCAGGTCCTGGTGCTATTGTTACATGCAAGCCCCTATGTTGCCCTGCCTGCAGCATGAAAGCAACTTCTGTTGCCGCAAGTGCTGTTGCCTCCTGCTTTGAAGAAAAGATAGAAGAATAAGTATCCGGTAAACCAGAAAAAATGAATTAGTAAACTACACACCTGATATAATTACATCACAAATACTGGTGCCGCTTCGTTTACAGATTGTCTTAAAATGTTGTCCGACTACCTTACATGGAAAGTTGTAATAAGTTTTAAATACTACTCCTACAAGAAGTTCATGGGACTTATTTTTGCTATCTTCATTACTTCTTCCATGCAATTTTGGCCCAAACAACTCTTATCTTTTCAACTTTAACTTACTACCAATGCAAAATTAAAAATGTGCTACTGAATCAGAACGGAGTAACGAGTAAAAGTACTATGCAAAATCTCCAAATGCATATTATTCTGCATTTAATAATCCAGGCCAGGAATAACAAAATGGGCTGGTAGAATAGAACACTTGGTGTTTCTCAGTCGCGAGGCATTTTTGGGACCAAGACTATCCAATAATATAATATCCCCTTGTCCCATATTACTCGATCATGTTCAGTTTACAGCGGTTGACTTAATTAATTTTCAATCTAACATTATACATTATACTCGTCTCTGAAACTTGAAGTAATAGCATGCAAAGCGCAAACTACATTTAAAGATCTACTAATCACTGTTGGATTTTTTTTCCTTTTGTTAAATAATTACTCCTACAAATCAATGAGTTTATTAACCCTGAAAGATCATTAAAAATAACTAAACATTAAGTTGTAAGAATAATGTTATTGACCCGTGAGTAGAAAGGGGGTCAACAAAAAGGAGGTGGGGTGGGGTGGGGACAGCAGCAGTAACAATTATTTGAACCTACCGAACAACGGAATAAATTACTGGTGAAAAACAGACTCTAAAATCTGAACATTATATAGTCAATTTTGATGTATAAAGAAACAACTTTCACTCCATCACACAATGAATGAGGGAGTTTGAAGCAGGAGGACCAAAGAATCTAACTTACTGAATGGTCCGCATAAAATTCCATACTTGGAAACAAAAAGTAATATAGATCGCAATATATAGAAAATAACAAATATTTATGATGTTTGAAAAATTGTAGTTAGAGAAAACACTGCTTGATTTCCCAAATAGTACAAATTTCGTATAAAATACAGAAAAAAAGCTCACTTGCTGTTTCTCAAAGTTAACTTTATATGTGCACGCTAGCTGCACGCACATAACTTCCATAGTTAGAGCAAGCAGAGAGACTTTCAAAAGCTTGACATGCCATTAAATATTCTATTTTAATATTCTACTTAGTTCACATGATAAGACGAAATAAGTTCCAAGATTTTATCTAATTCAAATTTACTTAACTGTGTACAAAGTGCTGACATCTATCAGCAGAACCTACAAACTCACAACTGGAAAAAATAGTGGCACCATCGCACTGGACATATAACCAATTATATATTGTGGCTTACACCACAATCAACATTAAAGCAAAATGTGGGAGGCCAAAGTATAAATCAGGAAAATAGAGGTATGGCTAGTAAAATCTAGAAGCACCCGGTGAAGTTTGATTTCATTTTAATTGAGCAAATACAAAAAATAAGCTCATGTATGTGGATTACTAATTCGATAATATGATATATATTTCCTAAGAATTTGTTGATTTTGTTTTGCAGCAGAATTTGCTGAAACACATTCGTTATATATAGGATAGTTTAACTTTTGCTTATATTTAAGTTTATTTATGCTATAGTAAATTTGATTACCATACAACTTCCTTCCTTCTATTACACTTTGTTAGTTTTGTTTATGTTGTAGTTCTTTTTTCTTTTTGGTTACTTTATTAGTTTATTATTCCTTGATTGATGAGATGCGAGGCGGTGTTAACGGCAGGCTGGAGGTTTGAGACATACCCTTGAGTCTAAGGGTTTCAAGTTGAGCAGGACTAAGACAGAATATCCGGAGTGCAAGTTCAGCGCGAGTCGGGAGAAGTGGGCATGGACGTGAGGCTTGGATCACAGGCCATCCCCAAGAAAAGTAGTTTTACGTACCTGAGGTCGATTATCCAGGGGGACAGAGAGATTGACGAGGACTTCACACACCGTATAGTGGTGGGGTGGATAAAATGCAAGTTAGCATCAGGAGTCCTGTGTGACGAGAAAGTGCCACCGTTACTCAAAGGTAAGTTCTATAGAGCTGTGGTTAAACCGACCATGTTGTATAGGGCAGAGTGTTGGCCAGTTAAGAACTCTCATATCCAAAAGATGAAAGTAGCACAAATGAGGATGTTAAGGTGGATGTGCGGGTATACTAGAATGGATAAAATTAGGAATAAAGTTATTCGGGAGAAGGTGGGCGTGGCTCATATGGATGACAAGATGCGGGAAGCGAGACTCGGATGGTTCGGGCACGTGCGGAGGAGGAGCCCTGATGCTCCAGTGAGGAGGTGCGAGCGTTTGGCCTTGGCGGGTACGAGAAGAGGTAGAGAGCGGCCTAAGAAGTATTGGGGAGAGGTGATCAGACACGACATGGCGTTGCTGCAGATTTCCGAGAACATGGCCCTTGATAGGAAGGTGTGGAGGTCGAGCATTACGGTTGTAGGTTAGGACGTAATCGAGCCCGAGGGTGAGGTTAGTTTGATAGGGCTGTCCTTAGACTGCTAGTGGTTAATGTTGTGTTCACACTATCCTTCCGTTTTTCATAGCATCGGGGCTTATTTTCTGGTTTTGTTATTGCATTTCAACAATTTTGTAGTTCTTATGATGTTATTATTTCTTTAGTTTCTGTTTGATGGTACTAATATATTGTCCCTTCCCTTCTCTTCTCGTCTTTTCCGTCCACTTGAGCCGAGGGTCTCTCGGAAACAGCTACTCCTTCGGGGGTAAGGGTAAGGTTTGCGTACACACTACCCTCCTCAGACCCCACTTGTGAGATTTTACTGGGTCGTTGTTGTTGTTGTTATTAGTTTATTATTCCCATGCATAGAATTTGCTTTTGTTATTTCTTTAAGAAATTATTAGATTTTTTTTTAAGTATGTTAGAGTTTAACAAATTTAAAAAATTTAAGAGTATATATTTGAAAGTAAAATTTATCAAAATGCAATTGTTTTGTTATAATTTAAATTTGATAATTTCTAATTCTCTTTTCTTAAACGATGACGTCAGCATTGATATACCTTTGTCCAAGTGCTTAAAAAAAGAGGGGAAAAGGCTTAAAAATGATACAGGATGTCGACTTTACTATGGTTGTACCATGGCTTTACAATACTTTTTGACTCCACTTATGAGAAATCCTGGGTCCGCCAATGGCACCCAGTATTGACGTATTAAACTAGGAGTGGAAGTCTTAAATGTTTCTAAAAAGGTCCACTTAGTTCCCATAAACTAGAGCAAAGATCCAAGTAACTCAGCCAAAATTTAATTACATACATGTGCACGGATACAGCGTTAGTCAACCATAACAAAAGCTAAACAAAATTTATCTGATCTGCACCACAGGAATTTTCCATTTTACAAAAATGTAACGAATCATCATATTAGCAAGAATGAAGATTGACATGTTAATAGTTATTTATAGATAACGAGAAACAAAAGAAATCTCTAAGGCTCTAACCTGTCTTTGCCTTCGACGCTGCATGATACTGATAGCCCAAGCCATGATGTAGCAAGGTAGAAGAAAACCAGCAGCACGGAGCAAGAAAAGCTGTATAAAAAATCGACCAGATCAGTAATCCCACACGATCTAATGTGTCATAAACTCATCATAGCAAGCAACAAATAGAAAGGTGATTTCACTGTATGATTCACTCACAGAGAAAAAGGTGGAGACATCACCGTCATCTCCATCATCATTTCCGATGGTCACAGCATGCCTCAATAATAGAAGGGCCATTAACTGCATGGGAACAGTGTGCAATATTATTTGAGTATCTAGAAAGCGAGATAAGCTCAAAATATAACATAGACAGATTGCATGGGCAAAACAAAAGGAAAATATTGGAAGCAAAATTTTTGTTATCAACGCGTCTTAAAGATTTCTCCCTAGTTTCTCCATTTTTAGTACTGGGAAGAACTTTTACATATCTAGACAATAAAGTGAAGGTCATTTCTGATCAATTCAACCAGCGGAAAGTACAAAAGGTTAATACAATGAAGGAAGTGAATATAAGAAGATAAGAGGAAAGCAAAAGCATGAAATGTAGCATGAGGCCCTGAACAGGCCTCTTTCTCTTACCATGTAGTGCAGTTTCAAGAACTTGCAGGAAAATCACTGTAACATGAGCATTAAAATATAAACAAGATAGGGCGGAATGAGTTTTTTTTTTTTTTTTTTTTTTTTTTTTTTTTTTTTTTTTTGGGTGATGACAAGGGTGAGTTGACAGTATTTTCCATTGTGAGCATTCCTTGAATAAGCCTACTATAAAAGGAAAAATTTCATTTTCCTCATTTTCAAGAAGGGAAGGAGGGTCAGAAATCAAAGGAAGTTGCGGCCCATAAATTGTATCACCGCTTCTCTTCTCAAGTCAGCATTAGGTCACCACTTGCAAATACAAAAGAGAATTCTGAATCTGCTGTCGTTTTTTTTTTTTTGATGAATAAGAATTCTGTATCTGCTGATGTGCATTAGCTTCTACATGAAAAATAATAATGCATATCCCACATCTCCATTAGCCAGCACTTAGCAAATATGATTTGAATAACATAAAGGAATAACAGTTGCTTACAATTAAAGCAGCAGAACGACAAAATGCAGCTCCACTAGCACTTGAATCAGCATACTCGTCATAGTCAGCCTCCAAGAGATGGCGCTCTGCAGCTGCCATCGCAAGAAGCCGCGGATCATGCAAGTCAAGCTGAGTACCAGCCACTGTCCAGCCCCCACTGCAAGGCAAAACCACGTGGACGAATCCATCAGCGACAGAGAAGACAGAAAAGAAAATTTTCAAGATTAAGATTGCGAGGAGACATGCTGATCATGTTGGATGCCCTCACTGAAGAGGTTAACAGTTACTGGCACTAAAGAAAACGTTCCATCAGATTTTCACCCAAATTTTTAGTAACAAGGGCCTTTAAATAATGGTGGAAAACTGGCTGCCCAAAAATATAATAAGCTTAACATGTTTTAAATACATCCAAAATAGGGGTTAAATGTCTTTATGGCCAGTTCATATTGTCATAAACTGTTCTTGTTGGGCTATGGAAAATAATCTTCGTGTCAATGATGCTGAATTATTTACCTAGAAACATATACTTGGAAGGAAAAAAAGCCAAAAACATATAAAATTACACGGTATCAAAGAGCAAAAAAGTACCAGAAATTGGAATCATCACTAGATATTGAAGACATTTGGTAATGCAGAGTTCATGGTCATACAACACAGATAAGGATTTCACTCTTTGTTATTACTGCATACCATTAATTCTTTTTTTTCTAAAAGCTGAAATGCATAAAATACAGTTGTGCTTGTTAATGATTTGTTGAATTGAACGGTACATTGACCTACTTTTGCATTCAAGAAGAATCGCAGCTTCACTTACAAATTATAAGCTTTGAGAGAAATAAAGTATCAGTGGGCCTCTAAATAAGTGGAGCAATTCATAAAGAAGATACAAATAATCAAGTCAAAGGGAAAGGTGTCAGCACAAACAGAAGTAAGATCGTTATTCCACGGTCTATTTCCTCTCTTTTCATTTCTTTTTCTTTTTGGGGAGTGTGGGTAAGTGTCAGAGTGTAGAAATGGTACAAATGTCAACATACTTTGAAAAGTAAACACCAAAATCAGAAGATCAATGTCTCTATTCCATAGATTGAGAGAAATGCTCGGAAAAATAAATCAAATTTGGTATGCACAAAGATAATAATCATGACTTAATCTAACCTGATGTCGATGGCAATATCTTCAGAAGGAGAAGGCGGTGGTGGAGCAGTATAGCCAGGTTGATAAGACTGCAGGTTACAGAGTTTTCCAAGTCAGCATATAACTTTGTCTGAAACAAGTGAGCCTGAACTAGAAACTCCTTCAGCACATATTCACGAACATACAGTTTTGTGATTCTAAACAGCATTGTCAAAGGCTCATTTAAGGCGCGCTTAAGCACCGAAGCTCAGAAAAGCTAGGGAGGGTGCTTCACCTTGCTTAAGTTGTGCTTTACTGTAGGCAAGGCACTAAAGAGTGTGCCTCATTGCCCATGAATTCTACCTTAAATCAAGCGGTACTAAACAATAAATATAATAGGCAAAGAATATATTAATCGCTAAGGACAATATCATGTATGAAGTTGTGACTTTTTACTTGCATTACATATATATTTTTTACTTTTTTAATTCATTGCACCTTTTTTTACTAAAGCCCACACTTAAATTGTGTTTAATGCCCCAATTGACCTGGATCGCTTTTTAAAGCTTTTCGCCTTTGACAACACTGATTCTAAAGTCCCAAATACTTAAATTTCTGAAGGGAAAAATGCATCATTGAATTATGGCATAAGGTGAGCNGCTGAACACATTTCCTATGAGCATACTGCATTTTGTAACAAAGACGCCGACAAGAATTGAAAGGAAAAAAAAAGAATAATTAGAATCAAATAAGGTCCATACACATATAAAAGATCTTTTGTCATGCAGTTGCAACACAACCGGATAAAACATGACCATCAACGATTCAAAGGCTTTGGAATCTTAGCAAATTCTAGAGAAGTTATAAGAACTAAGGAAAAGTTTGAAAGAAACACTGAAGACTGGTCAAAGGAAAAACACTTAGCCAGGATAAAAGACGTGAACAATAAGAAAACTGTTAAATTTTAAATCACGACAATCTCAAGTTCTTGAGAAGAGTAACTTGAATACTAGCACCATTCAGGCTTAGGAAAAATGAAGATGACACTATAAATATAAATTTATTACATGCACAAGCAGCATCAAGATCAAAGCAGCTAGTCGAACCAGTGCCCAAAAATACTTCACAAACATACCTTTAAGCTGCCACTGCAGCCACAAGGAATCTCCAAATTCTTAGTGCTATCTTCTTCCTGGCAAATTCGGCATTCCACAGTCTGAAGTAATGGCTCATCTTCACCTCCAGCTTCTAGTTCTTCATCCTCCTTATTAGTAGTACCATAAGGTGATTGACCTACTGTGTGCGAGCAAGAACTTCCTGCAGAGGATCCTGCATCCTCTGACCCTTGCAACGAGTGCAAAGATTTAGGTGTGATAAGACGATCAACACATAGAGCCAAGTGTTCTCCCATTAGCAGTTGACTCACGTATCTTTAAAATGAACAAACATGGTCAGCCAGCTTAACTAACAAGAGAAGAAAGGAAAAATTATTAAAGTCACGAAACACAAACGTCAGTCCAATCATCATATATAAGAGCAACTAGCCCTATTGGTTTTCTTCATCTTTTGGATAGCTCTAGTGACTTTTATTACACTCAGATGTTGAGCCAGGATTTAGAGCTTATGCATTTGGGATTCTAATCCTTTTAAGTTATTGGGTTTTAAATTAACAATTTATATAAATTAAACGAATTTCTCAAGACAAATAAAGGGTTTGGATCAATGTTATTGGGTTTGGCCAAACCCGTCACCAAATCACTGGCTCCGCCCCTTGTTAAACTTCATATGGCTAAGTCCAAAATTTTAACCACTTTCTGGCCATAATAATAGAAGTCTTACAACTCAGTAAAAGAAACTATCAAAAGACAAGAGAAACAGTTCTTAAAAATCCTATGATATACTTCCCTCCTAGTTTCTCCTCACAATGTTAAGCCTCTTGTCCATTGGTACAAAGACCCAAATGCTACATTACTTGACAGAGAAACTGGATATTGAAGTTTGAATTGTCAACAAACAGAATTTCCAAACCCAACAAAAGCAAATGTAAAATCAAGAGGTATGACCTTGACTAATAAAATCAACTGTGAACTAACTACTAATCTTTTCTTTGATTTTTCTTTTTCTCTTTGTAGGATAGGTAACAAACTATGAACATAGGAAAGTCAAATTTCAGGGATTTTTTCAAGTAGAGTTGAGCTCTTCAACACAAAATAGGAGGTTTTCTGCTAAACTGAGACCATATACCCAAAAAAAAGTACCCTTTAATTGGAAATACTGAAGCAAAATGTGTTTAACAAACTTTCTGATTCCTGCCTTTCCAATTTTTCTCTTAACCGTATACGGGGTAAAATTTTCTAAAACGGAACCAAGTTTGAAAATTACCAACTTTGACTATCAAAACATAAGCAACAATTTCTATTTCATCAACTGCATTATAAAAGAAGCCAGAAACCAGAAAACCTAACCAATTGAATCACCGTAATAAAAAATCTTGAACAAAAAAATATAGGGAAAACAAAATAGAGGAAACAATAGAATTTTGAGGTACCTGAAAATGCAATTCGTGATGGATTTTGGTTCTCTGAGAGAAAGCTAATGAATATGTATGAGTGTTTTCTGAGAGAAGAAATAGTCGCTTTTGGTTTTGGGCTTTGCTTGCAAATTGGACATCAATTTGATTATGAAAATAGAGTAATGTATCAAAGTCTTCTCTGGATTATATAGATTTTATTTTTTATTTATAAGTAGATAAGTACTAGACAAAGTCATCAATATTGCGGGACCGCTTAAACTACAACGACGTCGTTTACGGACGTCCAATTCCAAATTATAACTCCTTTAATAGCCTGCATCCAAGAAGTTACTCTGCTATTAACTCTGTAATTTTTTGCATATAAATTGTTATTAATTGACATTTATTAAGTCAATGTATTCTTATTTTAATATATGCCACATTTAGAATAAAATTTATAAGTTAAAATAAGTAATGTATAAGAGTGCAAATAAATATTTGTTCAAGTTAGTGAAAACTTACTACCGTTTTGATCTTTTGGATGGATTCCTTCCGGGAAGCAACGCACTACCAGAACAATAAGCATGGTCAATTGTTTGACTTTCAAGAAATTAATTAACAAAAATTTCCACGCGCAAAGCCGCACTATTTGTCCACGTTGGTACGAAAAAGGTTATTAGAGAAACATTCATCATCAAGGAAAGAAAAAGATGCAAAAGTGTAATTGCTTTTGTCGTTTGAGATAGGATGTGTTATAAAGACTTGGTAGAAGAGCTTTGTATAAGGGGGTAGGTAATTATTCAAATGAGTTTTGGTTAGACAGATAAAGATAATGGACATTCCATTCTCTCATGGTTTCTAGAAGACATGTTATGTGTAGGTATTAGGCAGGTAACAAATCAAAAAAAATCTTATGTTAGATACTTTTGTTATGATTTTCACCGTCTCAAATCCACTTTGAAAGAATATGGGCCTGCCATGTAATACTCATTCCGTCCTTATTTATGTGATTTTGTTTTATTAATGAGTTTAAAAAGAAATACTTTTGAAACTTATCGTCTATAACAAGCGATTATAGATCATCTCATTAATCGTAAAATGATATTTTAAAAAATATATGTATATATATAAAGATATCATTAATTTAGAACAGACTAACAACAAAAGTACATCAAAATATTGAAGAGAGGAAGTATTATTATTCTATGTACCATTAAATTGAACTAGTCTTATGATATGCGTTTTGCGCGTGTACCCATGTCAATAAGTATAAAAAATTTTAAACAAACGTATAAATATTATTAAATATTATGGTTGTATGAAAAGAATAAAAATAAAAATATAAGTGTCTAAAAATAATAACTCTTGATCCTTCCACCTCAATGCCCCATACGTGCGCTTGGTATGTGCCCAATGCCTTGCGAATAAACTCGTTGATCACGCCCAACTCTAGTCCTAAAAAGAATAAGTGGTTGCTGCAAATATAATCCGGTCTAAGAGTTTGGAGTCGAATCCCACATAGAACTAAGGTTTCGCTATAACTGTTAAATATCACTAAGAAGACAAGCTCAAATAAATTTCTAAGTTATAAGATAAAGATTCTTATATCTAACTAATTAACTAACAAATTAAAGTAGTAAATTAACAACTAAATATACTAAGGGTTGAAAACAAGATGAAGGAGGCCTAGAGTTATGATTTTCTCAATTGTCGGAATCCTTCCCGCTACGTCTCCTACAATTTCGCCTAAGTATTCTCTACTGATCATGAGCACTTGACTTATCGTAATTCTCTCTCGAGCAACTACAATAATTTACTAGTCATATTCTCTCGAATTGCGCTAGCTCGCACTTTTTCTCCGCTCATTATGATCACGTCAAAGCTTCGTTATCTCTAACCCCGCTTTTAAACCCACCATATTGATCTTTCATATACCTTAGGAGTGACGTTGTTCAACAAATACCTAAATATGTATTCTTTCTCAAGCAACACATAATAAATAGGCACAGTCAATTGATAGCCATTCAATCAATTGAAATAAGCACGTAGTTGAACATATTTTTGGGCTGACCTGAAATCAAGACTTCAAAGAACAAGCGTAAAATAGGGTGTGTTATGGAGATTCGTATCAAATCACCACTATTATCCTTAGCCCCACGGTGTGCGCCAAACTGTTTATCCCGAAATTGGGTAACAATTGAATTTGTATGTGATTTTAAGGATATGTGATTTAATCTAATACGAGCAATTAAGAATATCAAATAAATGAGTTAGGAATGAAATAAACGTTCAAACCAATTGCAATACTATGATCAAGCCTGAAGTTAGATTGAACAATGACCTAATCCTCGATTGGACCCTTGATTCGAGCTCGATCGTGAATGAAGAACATGATAAGTAAATAAGAACTTTAACACTAGCTAGAAAGATAGAAAATGAGCTTGTATTAATTTGATTTTCCTATTACAATGTGTCTTACAAAAGAAAAACTTCCCCTTTATATATATAGTAAGGGAGTTTCATCCCTAGTATAAGTCTAAAAAGGTAAAAATCTTTCCTTCCCAGTAATTACTGATCCATAACCGTCATTGAGCGAGATCCGCACCGTGATATCCGGTTAGGTGTGAATATCATGGCCCTCTATTTGTAACCGCTCACCGTGTTTTTCGAAGTCTTAGAACTCATTCTTGGCCCGGGGAGCGTCGCTTTACCGTGCCCGAGGTCAAGCACACCGTTTATTCTTCCTGGATCTCGATACAAAGGGGTTTTATCCTCGACTACAATCTCGTGCGTCCATGCCCTTCCTCCATTTTCTCACCGGGAAATCTGGGTAGACGTTACCCCTGATTCTACCCATACACATATAGTCCCCTCGTTTTCTGGAGAGTAGGTTTACTGAAACGATGGAAAGCGATAGATAAACCCAAGTTCCTTCCTTCGTACGTTACAACCGAGATGACGGGTAAATAGAAATATCCCATCAGTCGCGTCATTTTGACTTCGAACACGTGTCAGTCACCGGTTGACTTTCCTCGAATGCGAAACGTCGCGCACTGATTGTTTCCCCTATAAAAGCTTCGACCCTTTTTCACTTCTTCCACTTTTCGATTCCAAAATTTACCCTCGAACTTTTTAATCTGCTTTTAACTCCTCCAAATCTTCATATGTTTCTCCTTGAACCTTCATATCTCTATCTTCAATACTCATACATTTTCTTTGGATCTCCAACCCAGACCTTTATGCCATCTTCAAATCTTCATATTTTTATTCAGACCTTCATATTTTTCTTTAAACCTTCATAATTTTCTTCAAACCTTCATATTCCCATATTACGATGGAAAAAACTTCAAGTCGGTGCCTCAACAGACTGCTCCTTCATCTTCCAACCCGGCCAGGGGCGCCGAGGTGGTTGTCCCTGAGGGGCTTAAGAGCCCCCCACGAAGAGCTTCGTACTTGGGGGTTGTTCCATCAGGAACGACTTTCTCGTCGAGAAGGCCTCTAGTCAACAAAATCGAGGCAAGGGAGCATGGAGATACATATGCTCCATTACTGAGGAAACACTACCCATAGTCGAGCGGACTGTAACTGTGAGGGTAAGGAAGTGATCGTACCCGGGCATAATGAAAACATCACTACCCACGTGGAGGGTATTTAAGTATTTACACTTACCCCTTCACGCTTGCCCCGGTGGACCCCATCGTCCTTGCCTTCTGCATAAGGTACGAGGTGTGCCTTGCCCAAATCCACACGTCTTTTTGGAGTATCGTGATCCTCCTACGACATTTTGTGAACAATATTGAATCCCCTCGGTTCATCCTCGACCACTTACTTCGACTCTACAATCCCCGAATCATCTGAGGGGGATTGATCAAGCTCGTTCACCGAGCGAGGAAGACTCCGTTCTCGAGCATCGACGAGGACCGAGACTAGGGACGGGCATTCGGTACGGTTCTGTATTTAAGAACTTCGGTTCGGTATTTCAGTATTCGATTTATCAATTGTATATACCAAATATCGTATCAAAGTAGTTCGATACGGTTCGGTATTTCTTATTTTGGTTTCGGTTTGATACATAATGTATCACGTTGTGCTAATAACACTGTTAATAGCCTAAGCAAGCAGAAACAAAAATAGAATACCACCTTGATTTACATCCCTTTCTAAAATGACAACAACATCAAACATGGCAATAGTAAAGGTAAAAATAATAACCTCAGTAGTACATCATAACTTCCTCTCCTTTCCTGAGCTGGAACTCTTCAATTTCTCTGTCATTTGTGTCGCGCCCCGTTTTCTCGTGAAATCGGGTTTCGACGTGTGACAACTCTTTTAAATGGGTATTAAAAGAGAAGAGTCACCACCTAACGATTTTGAGGTGTGTTAGGACACCTATTTGCAAATAACTCTGTTTGA